ACTGGTAAAGTAGTTAAGCAAATGTTTGAGGGATTCACCCTACAGCTCTTCTCTGTCTATATCTTAGTTCATTTGAATGCATAACAGCACCAGCATAGCCTGGGATGTAATTGAAAAGCTCTTAAGACCACAAATACAGATAATTGAGATACGGGCTGATTGAGATTAGATCTATTCTCTTTCTCAAGGAAGTGTTGACAATCTCTCATCATGTGGCATTAGTCTTATCTACTCACTTATCTGGCCCTGTAATTAGTTTCAACGGGATTAAACATTAACATAATTTTCACACTGGAAATTACATTTATTGGAAGAGCTTGAAGTCCCCTGGAAATAAATTTCAACAATTCCAAGAAGTATAATATCTAATTAATGAAGATATCTATTTTTCTTAGTGGAACACATTCAAAAGACTAAAATCATGTGGAATAAAAGAAAATAAAATTATAAACACACAGGTCATGACCGAAAGAACGAGATCGCGGGTACAAGCGGCCGAAATGGGTTTCCTCAGGCGGGTGGCTGGTGTCTCCCTTCGAGAAGCTCGGCCATCCGCGAGGAGCTCAGAGTAGAGCCGCTGCTGATTTGCGTTGAAAGGAGCCAGTTGAGGTGGTTTGGGCATCTGGTAAGGATGCCTCCTGGACGCCTCCCTAGGGAGGTGTTCCAGGCACGTCCAGCTGGGAGGAGGCCTCAGGGAAGACCCAGAACTAGGTGGAGAGATTATATCTCCACACTGGCCTGGGAACGCCTCGGGATCCCCCAGTCAGAGCTGGTTAATGTGGCTCAGGAAAGAGAAGTTTGGGGTCCCCTGCTGGAGCTGCTGCCCCTGCGACCCGACCCCGGATAAACGGATGAAGATGGATGGATGGATGGATGGACATATATATATATTTAAATGTACTGCTATATACACAAAAGTGTAATAACATGTGGTTTTCAAACACTTTAAACAAATAAGGTGCTTTTTACCAGCCGTCCCTTTAGTCCCTTTCCACAGTAGCAATAAAATATTTCTTCTAAATCTCAACTTAAACATTAATGTAATCAAATCAAATATAAAACCAAAAACATATTTGCCACTGCCAGGGCATTACCTTTTATCTAGGTTGTTAAAACAAGTTACCATCAGAGTCCAGTTTTCTTGGGGGTGGGGGGTTCTGAGCTATCAGCAGAAACATTTTTTTTGTATCAGGGAGCAGCACAAACAGTCTATGTTCAGTAGCAAGGTGAAGTGGTGGGGCGCAAGGTGTAGCGACAAGCGGGTGCGTTCCTGTGAAGCTGTTGCGGTCGTGCTCACCTCATGCACACGCCCGCCGCCAAAGTTGAATTGTCTTGGAACTTTTTGTTTGCGCAGCACAAAGCATTGGAAGAGAGACTGATCCTCGCTGTTTGTGAGTTTCCAGAATCTATTACTGTTTAACTAAATAGGACATCATCAGGAGGGAATTCATATGGCAGAGCATTCCTGCAAAACTAGATGAAGGCCTATCAGCTAAAGTTATGCAGCCAATAATTTTAACTTAAGTTACAGTGGGTACGGAAAGTATTCAGACCCCTTTAAATTTTTCACTCTTTGTTTCATTGCAGCCATTTTCCAAAAATCAAAAAAGTTCATTTTATTTCTCAGTAATGTACACTCAGCACCCCATCTTGACAGAAAAAAACAGAAATGTAGAAATTTTTGCAAATTTATTAAAAAAGAAAAACTGAAATATCACATGGTCATAAGTATTCAGACCCTTTGCCGTGACACTCATATTTAACTCAGCTGCTGTCTATTTCTTCTGATCATCCTTGAGATGGTTCTACACCTTCATTTGAGTCCAGCTGTGTTTGATTATACTGATTGGACTTGTTTAGGAAAGCCACACACCTGTCTATATAAGACCTTACAGCTCACAGTGCATGTCAGAGCAAATGAGAATCATGAGGTCAAAGGAACTGCCTGAAGAGCTCAGAGACAGAATTGTGGCAAGGCACAGATCTGGCCAAGGTTACAAAAAAATTTCTGCTGCACTTAAGGTTCCTAAGAGCACAGTGGCCTCCATAATCCTCAAATGGAAGACGTTTGGGACGACCAGAACCCTTCCTAGAGCTGGCCGTCCGGCCAAACTGAGCTATCGGGGGAGAAGAGCCTTGGTGAGAGAGGTAAAGAAGAACCCAAAGGTCACTGTGGCTGAGCTCCAGAGATGCAGTCGGGAGATGGGAGAAAGTTGTAGTAAGTCAACCATCACTGCAGCAATCCACCAGTCGGGGCTTTATGGCAGAGTGGCCCGACGGAAGCCTCTCCTCAGTGCAAGACACATGAAAGCCCGCATGGAGTTTGCTAAAAAACACCTGAAGGACTCCAAGATGGTGATAAATAAGATCCTCTGGTCTGATGAGACCAAGATAGAACTTTTTGGCCTTAATTCTAAGCGGTATGTGTGGAGAAAACCAGGCACTGCTCATCACCTGTCCAATACAGTCTCAACAGTGAAGCATGGTGGTGGCAGCATCATGCTGTGGGGGTGTTTTTCAGCTGCAGGGACAGGACGACTGGTTGCAATCGAGGGAAAGATGAATGCGGCCAAGTACAGGGATATCCTGGACGAAAACCTTTTCCAGAATGCTCTGGACCTCAGACTGGGCCGAAGGTTTACCTTCCAACAAGACAATGACCCTAAGCACACCGCTAAAATAACGAAGGAGTGGCTTCACAACAACTCCGTGGCTGTTCTTGAATGGCCCAGCCAGAGCCCTGACTTAAACCCAATTGAGCATCTCTGGAGAGACCTGAAAATGGCTGTCCACCAACGTTTACCATCCAACCTGACAGAACTGGAGAGGATCTGCAAGGAGGAATGGCAGAGGATACCCAAATCCAGATGTGAAAAACTTGTTGCATCTTTCCCAAAATGACTCATGGCTGTATTAGATCAAAAGGGTGCTTCTACTAAATACTGAGCAAAGGGTCTGAATACTTATGACCATGTGATATTTCAGTTTTTCTTTTTTAATAAATTTGCTAAAATTTCTACATTTCTGTTTTTTTCTGTCAAGATGGGGTGCTAAGTGTACATTACTGAGAAATAAAATGAACTTTTTAGATTTTTGGAAAATGGCTGCAATGAAACAAAGAGTGAAAAATTTAAAGGGGTCTGAATACTTTCCGTACCCACTGTAAATAACCTACAGCTGTGTAGCGCACAGAAGCCGTTGCCAAGATTACCATCAATACAGCACCTGCTGTTTACTCTCAGAGCGCTGTCTTACTTGTCCCACACATTCTTTTGGTTTTTACAGGGCTTACACCGGCACAGTACCTTACACCTTTTAGCTGGAAAGCTTAATTAAGAAGTTCATTGGACCATAGCTTTAATATGAACAAGCCTCGGCTACAATAACAACTTTGTCAGTGTTTTAAATGTTGGTATTGTGCTCTCTGCTTATCTACGCTTAGAGCAATAATTGTATGTGAACACTTTGTGACCGTACATATACATGACTCTCTCTCTGTTGTGCATGGGGGGGGGGTTTGTGGGCAGAATCAGACACAGGGTTTAAAAATATTTAAAGCTGCGCTAATCAATATTTCTAAAGAAACAATGGATCAAATGACTACCTTTAATGTGAAAGATGTCGTTCGTAGTCACAGACCCACACAAAATTATTTTTACCAGTTTACCTCAGCTCTGCAGAGCCTTATAGCATCTTTTAGCTAACTGTTATGGTTTTACAGCCCAAAACTTTGCTGTTTTGGTTTACTCCATGCCATGGCCAAGTACCCACAAACTGCGGTTCCTCAAAAGGCCACTTGAGGCTGGCTCCAAAAGCAAGTCAATCACCATCGACACCCATGTTAAAATGCCCAACTTTACAACATAAATAAACATGTTTACAGCCTGGTACAAAAAACGGCTAAAGCTAATTTCCCCCCTTCATGACAACTGTGCGAGGTTGAATTTTTATATAGCTCTCCCGTTTAAATAATATGAAGGCTCAAAGTTATGCATGATTAAAAGCTGGCCACTTTAAGTGACAGTTAGGTGCTGTCACAGGTGTCGCTAGCTCCACTCACGCTCCACGTCTTTGGCCATTTCTGGATTAGCTGGGGTCAGGCAAGTCAGGAACTGCCAAGATGGCAACAGACGGAGCCACTCACACTGAGCTTCACAATTAGAAACCTATGACTGATGTCTTGGAGACTACATCCATGTTTATACAGTCTACATTGACGCAGCAGGTAGATATTTTCACCAAAAAAGCTTTAAAGAAGCCACTGTACCACCAAACAGCAGACAGACAAAGTTAGCAACCAGCTGGTGAACACATTCTGCAGGTATGGGAGAAAGACAGAGTTTTTGCTAATGCTAATGTTGCTTTGTGTCTGCTATACCGGTCAGTAGGCCATGGTAAACTGTTAATGTTTTGTTTACAGCTAGTTGTGCTGCTACCAAGCGCAAAAGAAACATATTAATGCAAGTTAAAAGAAGTCAAACGAATGTTCAAATCTCTGTATTCCTAACACAATGTGTGCAGATGTTCATCCTATATAATGTCCCTCTTAAAACTACTATGCAGCTCTCTTAAGTCCCAGAAAATATATAGTACAAGATAACTTTCACAGGTTTAACAAGCTTTAAAAAGTTAACTGTTTTAATAGGCATAACTCTGACACTTCAAACTTCTGTGCCAGTTTAGATTTGCTACTGATTTCCTCACACATGATAGATATCAGCTATGAACTATGTGCCCCTCAGGAAATCAAAAAAATGTAATTGTAAGAGTCAGATAGGGGATGATTTTCTGTTACAGCATAATACCTCTTTAGACATGATAAGGCCAAGAATTCCTTCAGGGGAACACTTATCTCAAACTTCTATGAATTAATGTGGCATCTGGAAGTGTCAGGAAGTGTCTGACTCTGGGAGAAACTCAGCCTGCCACAGTGAAATGACCTCTCCTACCTGTACTGTGTGTGTGTGTGTGTGGTTCACTTCAAAAGAAATCTAACTCACCCCAGCTGCGAAGCCTAAACTTCCATCCAAGATGCGCTTCTGAAAAGGGCAGAGAAGAAGAAAGATTGTATGCAAGTCTGTCAAATCAATATCCTCAAACCCTGAAAGTGTAACATCTAAGTTATCAGTTAACCTCTTACTGTTGACTTAACTGACAAAAATGCATCATGCCCCAAGAGTCAGAGGTACAAAGATAACAAAAAAGCACAATCGACAAGTAAAACCATTCTGTCAATAGAGGGGTTTCATGTGATGTTCTGTAACACACTCTATAGCTGTTATAATGGTAACCTTCAGCTCTTGGCAACAGCAGCTGAACAGCTCAGATCATTTTTAAAAAACGTGTTGTCTTAACATAAATAACATGGCTAATTTATGTGCTGTTTTCATTTACAAACTTATAATTTCACCACTAATACATCTGATCAATTTTGTTTCATGCTTGTAACTACAGCTGTGTGTTGGGCTCTGTGCTTGAACGCATCCTGTGTAGAAGCAGACAGAGCACTGAAGGTGCTGCAGCTCTGCTTAGGTGCTGCTTTTGCGACATGGGCTGTGTCGATACTGTGTTACATGAAGTACAGCCGCATTTTAAAAAACTGTTTAACAACAGCTCTGTCCAAAGTAAGCGGGAACCTCTGGGTCAGAAAACTGAGGCCGCCCGGAAGTAACTTAGACCTGCTTTCTATTGAACGACCAGCTGGGGGCGGCTTCTCTGGTTGCAAAAAGAAGTCTGGTTTTATGGTTAAATGACCCTACTTCTCAGCTGAATTATTACCTCAGTAAACACTTTTAGTTTATGGTCTCAATCATTATACAGCATGATGTTCATTTAGTAAATTATGGTTCAATTTAGAGGAAAATAGACATTAAAGTAGCTTATGCTTTAGGGTGGGTCTACCTTGCGACTGACAAGTCATGTAAATTTAACCAGCGCTGTTAATTTTGTCCAGTTAGTATGTTTTGTTTTAAGCCCGTTTTTATCTAGCCAAAATTAGCATCCTGGTTATAATCACAGTTAAAGTGAATTACGGCTGCACCTAGCTAACCGAGCTATCTCGCGCCACCATCTTGACCGAATATCGTCACGTCCAGTTCCTGGTTGCAAACAAATCCATATGGCGATGGCCAAACTCGAGGTTTTATAACGGCAGTCCAGAAACCAATGGGTGACGTCACGATAACTACGTCCACTTCTTTATACAGTTAATGGTCCAAAGTAACAAAATCCACCAATCAGCATCACTAATTAACACGTTAGACATGATTCATCTAAATCTGTAAGTAACTGCAAATATTTGTTTGTAGAAAGTCACAACTTTGGACAGAGCCGGGCTCGCTGTTTCCCCCCGTTTTCAGTCTTATTGCTTAGCTAAGCAAAATAGCTGCTGGTTCCAGCAACATTTTTCCCGTGCAGATGCAGGAGTGGTATCTTCTCATCTAACTCTTGCCCAGACAGTGGCTAAGCATATTTGCCAAAATCCCAACTATTCCTTTACAACAACAATGTAAAACTCAAGCTCCGTTTGTCTGTGGGTTCTGAGTTGGTACAATACCTGTCGGCTGGAGAAGACAAACACCAGGGCTGCTCCGGCAGCAGTCAGGCCCCAGGTGAACAGAGTCCCCAGCAGGGCCTGCGTCATCGCGCTGTAGCCTTCTAGCATGGTGCCAGACCTGGACAAACAACCCACATGGCAAATTCACATTATACTGGAAGATGATATCTAGTTATTATGTTCCCGGAAAGAGTTTGAGAACTCAAGGAAAACAAACTACGTGGATTAAAATCTTCCAGTAACTGCCCTGCTTTTAAATACTCCTACGAGACTAAAGTAAATATTGTCCCCATCTAGGAGCCAGTATTTGTAATGATTTGACATGATCCAAAAACAGGGTAAATGTACTTAAGCTGCCTAATCCTCAGTCAACGTGTGTGCCTTTAAGCTCTCACATAACTGGTCAGACACGCGCCCATGCTGTGTTCTTTTCAGCACACAAATGAGAGTCAAATCCTGTTTGCTCAGGATCTCAATATCCTGAACTGTTGCATCTTCTCAATTTGCAGATAATACAGCCTACAGTATGTAGATTTTTTATGTCTCTAACGCAAGCAATGTGTAGTAGGTGAATACTATGATTAGTACTTTTATTATTCATACTGCAAAACACTTTTAACTTCTAATAATTTGCAGGTTTACATTTGTGTAAATAAACAACCTACATTGTGTTTATTTGGTGATCACACAAAAGGCTGCAAATTCAGCTTTTCATTTGTACAAAGCACTATGCGTTATATCTGTGGAACGTTACAAGGTCTCACTTTAAAGTAGCTTTAACTGGCAACTTTCCCCATCCGTATGCACTAACACATACATGTGTAGAAATATTTACCAAGCTGCAGGAACTGCTTTCATGTAACCATCAAATGACATTTTCATGAGCACATCAATAATGAAAACATGCAATGGGAATATTTACCACACCATAGCTGCTTTTATAATGAACTGATGACTGACAACTGCATATGGTAAATTATTACTTACAAATATTGATATTCGTTTCATAGATGCAGAATAATTTTTTAAATGTGACGTTATGTGCATTTTCTGTATGCATGTATGACTAGGGTGTGGATTTATAACTCACCTGCTGCCTTTAACTTTGACTGATATGTTTTACCTCAACAGCTCAGATGTAGCATATGTTTTTATGTTTCTTTTTATTGCTGTCAAAGTACGCGGCATAAACTGCTTTAATGCGGCTTCATTAACACTGCAGTGTGTAGTATAACTGGTCTTCGTGTAACTTTAAACCCAAACACAGGCATACTGTACAGAATAAAGACAGTAACCTAACTGTAAATGAGAGCCAGCCGGCTAACTTTAAATGTTTGCTCCCCTGATTTTATGAAATAACAGCTTTATGTTAAACTCAAACTCTAATTGTGGCATTACGACACAACAGGCATTAATTCGGCAAAGTGTAATTTTACCCTACGTTTATGTTATCGGTCGTTTTTGGCGTCAGTGTCAGGTTTACTCACTTCTTTCCAGTGGCACCTCCACTTCTGTGTATTTACTTCCTACTTCCCGGTACACGTGTCTGTGACAGTGAAAGCCCCGCCCCTCGTAGCATCCTATTGGTCAATCCCTTTGACAGCCGCAGAAGTGGCAGTATTATAAAAAATGCCACAGAGGAGTTTGGAAAGTTGAGAAAATTCAGGACTTTTGAGGTTACAGGGACAATATTAAAGTGCAGGAACATTTTACTGCCTCATCAGGGATACAAGGTACATGGTTGATTTATTTGTCAGTAGGTTGTAAAGTGAAATTGAGTTTGTAACTACCTTCTGCGACTTAGCAGACAACATACAGTAATATAAAAGCAATAAAAATGGTAAACAGAAATAAACTATTTTCAATGGAGCAGTGATGAGGATGAATTTTAGTTTATACATGTATCATTCAGGCATATAAGTTGTTGGGTAAAAAAAAAACAGAAGATATTGGAGTTTTTTGAGATCTGTGAGAATCTAACAATAGAAAAGATGGCAGACAAAAAAAGCAAAATGCTAGAAGCTGCTTCATGATTTCATGCTTTCCCCTGGGTCTGTGAGGAGACTGAGTGCACATTTTTTTGTGGTTTTGGCAGTGGTGGAATGTAACTAGGTTTATTTACAAGTACTGTATAGCTTAAGTAAAAATTCAAGATACTTACTGTACTTGCGTATTTCCATTTGATTCCACTATCTCAGAAGGAAATATTGAACTTTTTGGCTAAATTTATCTGACAGCTATATCTTATAACTTTACATGGTGCATTTTTGTAGAGTTACAAAAGACAATGTTAAAATTCTGCTTGCTCACTTAATGAGTCAGTAATAATTACTTATATAATATAGAATTGTATAACCATCACAGAGGCAATAATTCTGCTTTAAATACTTCTGCTCTTAAGTGCACCTCGTCAATAATAATTACCTGTAAGTGCTTTCACTCAAACTAGGGAAGGCAATTTATTTCAGAAGCATGTTTTGTTATATCTGTTGAAAGTCTCTTTACACCCGACAGCAATCAATAAATCAAATGCTCTGACACAAAAATGAAAAAATAAATCCAGCATCTGTGATTGTTGCAGGCCTACCTGCCTGCCTATCTGTCTTCCTGCATGCCTGTGCTCTTATGCTCAACTCAGAACTCGGAAATTTCCGACCTCCAACTAGAAAAACTATCCTGGAACGCCACTTGAAGTCGGTTTTCCTACTTGTGAACTCGGAGAAAAAATTTGTACCCCGACTTTACGTGTAGCAGCTGAATGACATCACACAACAATGGCAGCTCCCATGGAGGCACACATCTAACGTAGACTAAAAGGCAACATAAAGTATATATCCATGTATTTAAATTAAAATAATTCATTCTATTGTGTAGTAAAACCTGTTCCGCATGTAAATTGAACTGTGCCAGCGCTAGTTTTACTTTAGTAAAATACTGCTTTTTGGGTGCACGTGTGAACTTTTTGCTGTGTTATGACAGGGAACTGGTTCTGAAGATGTTGCTAGTTGGTCTTCCAGTGGGGCTTTCACCAATTGCTCCCCTTCTCTGCCTCCGAACTGTACTTCCTAGGCATGTCTAGCTTTGACCTACAGACCAATCATCGGCAACTGATTCAACTCCTGTTTCCAACAGTTTCTACTCTGAGTTTTTGCCATTGTAGATCCCTATAGCAATAAAGTTTCTTATTATTTATTTTGTTCCAAGGAAAGTTGACCAATACTGTTTTTGCTCCAGTAAATCTACTTTATTGTTGAAGTGAATGGAGATATTGGACAGCAGAAACTTCAAGCACAGTATTTGCAGTTTCTCATAAAGTATGGAGGGCACAATGCAAACTTTTTCCTTAAAACCACAGCAACAATAAACAAAATAAAGAATTTATAATAAGAATTTATTGTAAATTAATTAATCTCTCAGAGGATGAACTGGTCTTTCAGCATTTTTTTCAATGGATTTCTGTCGTTGCAGGGTTATTGAATATCTGTCCAAATGGCGACTCAATAAAGAAGCTCTCACCCTTTGATTCTGAGGGACTGGCAATAAATACTGATGTTTACCTCTGATGTTTTGGATCCCTGCTGTTTTATGCAAATATGACTTCAAAACACCTGCATTGGAAGTATCCCAACGTGACGTCACGCTGCATGTGTGCAGTTTTGCATAATAATAACAGGAATACACCACAAAAGAAAAATACGCTAACAGTGGTACAGTACCTCCAAACTATTTTTTTTTTTTTTTACAGTGTTTAAAGGTTGTTAAGAGTGTTTCACAAACCATTGGGGGACACAACACTTAACATGCCACCCTGGATACAATAAATCCACTCACTGATGCATTTAGATTATGTTACGACAGCTTTATCCGTTTTCTTAACGAAACACAGATGTTGCAGTGCAGTTGGGATTATTTTTCCACCAGCATTCCCTTAAATATTTTACATTTCAGTGTTGCAATTGCAGGAAGCTAGATTTGTGTTACTGGTGAGTGACTGGATTTATAACCAGTGTTGCTGGGAAACAAAAAGACTGAAATAAACAACATAATTAAACATGTGGCGCTTCCAGATTTCTTCTGTGGTTTTCCCTCACTACAGCATGCCATTCCATATGTAACATCTTTTACTGAAATGCCCTCTTATGAAACAATTCAATCAAAACTACAATACTCTCTGATTCACAGTTTGCTGGAAAAATTATATCATTCCATACAGATGGCCTCTGGTTTCATTGGGGACTTTTATATTCACACTGGCAGGATGGAAATATTTTGCCATGAAATTTGGTACAGACATTCATGATCCCCATGGGATGAACCACAAAGATGTTGCAGACCCCCTGATGTTTCCTCTCGAGCCATTATGAGTTTGACATTAGGAATTCAGAGTGAAACATCTTGACAACTCAGAAAAGGACATTTTCTACAAATATTCAAGGTCCCTTGAGGATAATTCCTAATGACTTTGGTGATCCTCTGACTTTTCCTCTACAGCCACCAGCAAATCAAATTGTTCACCTATTCAGTAAAAAAAAAAACCCTGACAGCTACAAGATGAACTAGCACATCATTTTGTATAAACATTTATGGTCCCTCAAGCATGAATTCCACAGACCTTTCTTACTTTGCCATCTTGAGGTTGATATTTTAGTCTTTTAGTGAAATGTCTTGGCAACTATTGGATGTAATGCTGTAAAATTAGCTATACATTATTTATCTTAATGACTTTGTTGATCCCTTATATTTGGTTTTGAATGATGTATCTTGCTAATTAGTGGGTGATTTGCCGTGAAATGACTAATTGTGTAGCGCCGTCATCAGATTAAAATTTTAGTGTGTCCTATACTGACCAATCACTTGCAAAACAAATGACGTTCCCCTCACCTCTACTTTGTGCTAAGTACTAATTAGCAATTGTTAGCATGCTAACATGCAAAACTAAGATGGTGAACGTAGTAAACATCATACCTGCTAAACAGAGCATTTAGCATTGTCAGTGTGAGCATGGTGATGTTAACATTTAGCTCACAGCACTATTTTACCTAAACACAGCCTTAGAGAGCCATCTAGCATGGCTGTAGATTCTTGTAGGCTACGGTCATCTCTCATAGCATCTGATCTCTACAAGACAAGAATGAGCTTCCATTTCTTAAGCATTATAACAAGGGAACTCTAGAAAGCAGCACGGTAAAGTTCAAAGCCACAGCTGCCTGACAGTGGAACTAAAAATATTTTCTTGTGACCCCACAATGATCATGTGAGATGGAGAAGAGAGAAAGGAACGTTTTTGGAGAGAAATAAGACCTGAGTACTTTTTTAAAAGCTTATTTTCTGATATATCGTAAGGTAGCTCTTAGCCTTGAGTATGGCAATGTGAAAAATGTCAGCTGTCTGATTCCACATGGCTGGTCCTTTTGCTGGAGACAGTTGTGCAGCACGTGGATACGGATGCCAGCATTTCTGTCTGAACACTGCAGTGAAATACTGCCCGTGAAATAAGAAGCTGTCAAACGTCTCCAAATTTAGCACCATGAAACAAAGTGTTTCCAGTGATGTTTTCTTGGGAGGGGGAAGTTGGAGAGAGGTAGGAGAAGTGTTGGTCTCCAGGGGGAAGTTAAGCCACAACCTAATCAGGTGTTTAGACCACAAAGAAATGTTTTTCTAGGTAATTGGAACCAGTGAAAATCCAGAGTGAAGGTATGTTGAGAAATCTCTGAAGAAATCTGTGGCATCTGATGAATGAGCTCTCAGATAAGGTGCTAAGTGTCTCTGAAATTAGACTAAATCACAGGATAAAGATGGGAGGAATTGATTAGTGTTGATTGAGCCTTGAATGAAGTGTTGATGGTGGGTGGCGGAACATGCTGGAGGTTTTGTGGGGGGATCCTCCCGGGGTATTCCAGCTATGCGTGTCAGAGTGGCAACAGAACGGAGGCCATTGCTCATCCAGGGTCTTTAATCTTTGCTAAACGCCCCCCAACACCCCTCTACTCTTCCAATCAACACATCTCTCTCTCTTTCCCCTTTTTTACAACTTTTCTGAGCTCTCTCATCTCCTTTTCACCTTTCGCTTTTCCTCTTTCACCCCCCTCCTTTTGTGATAGATAGAAAAACAAGATAAGGGTCGGAGGAGGATGGAAGGAGTCGAAGAAGCAAAAACAGCATCCCATGTCAAATGTCACAAAACAAAAGCCTCTGAGAAAACAGACAGCGACTTCTCTTTCCTGGCGGCAGATTTACTCTGTCTGAGCTGTAGATGTGGGTGGCCCGAGCGACAAGATTGTGTTATTATCTGTGTGTGTGTGTGTGTGTGTGTGTGTGTGTGTGTGTGTGTGTGTGTGTTTAGGTTTAGTTGTATGACCCCCCACTGAACTGTGAAGGAGCACAGGGGTGGAGTGTGGTGAGACAAAACGGATGGTGAAGTGTGGGGGGGGAGTAAACAGAGGCAGAGGGGAGAGGAGAAAGAATGGAGAGAAAAGTTATGAAAACAACAGTATTGTAACAGATGGGGCCAGGGTTTACCTTGGAAACAGCATTACAGCAGAGAACTGGTGGAGCGCTGAGGAGGGGTGTGAGCCAAGCTGGAGTTTATCACAATCTCCGGAGACTGATGACCAAGGGGGTGGGGGGTTGGGGGGGTGTCCCACCCACACACAGTAGCAGACATACTCCTCGCACACTGTGGGGGGAAGAGATATAAAAGGGATCCCAGGGACAAAGAGTGGTCAGGCAAGTGTCCGAGCGGCCGTTCCTGTTCATTTCCACACTGCTGTGCGTCACCGAGTGTGTTTTACGTCAGTGTGTGTGTGTGTGTGTGTGTGTGTGTGTGTGTGTGTGTGAGAGTGTGTGTGTGTGTGTGAGAAGAAGTGCACGTTGGTATCAGAGAGAAACGTGCTCTCTCCACCACAAAGGAATAAACTCTGACAGGTTGTTGGGGGTTTTTTTTTCTCCCAAAAGATAACGATTGGATGGGGGGAGCTGAAGAGTTGCTGAAGCCTGGCTGTTCTTGAACCTGAAAACGGTGTTTGATTTTCACGTTTTTTGGCTGAGTTGTTTACTCCTCTCCCTCTGAGTACGTTTTACTTCCACCACGGGGAGCCAAGAGGTGACTTTTTAACTGCTTGCAGAAGAATTTAAACAGAAGCAAAGATTTTCTCCCTCTGAGCTGCAGCAGTCCTAGGGGTAGTAACTTTGTATTTTTATTCTCGTTTTTTTGATCAATTATTTGATGTGCTGCGGCAGAATGGACTCCTCATTTTCGTCAGATGTAGACATCAATAAGACCTTTGTGGATGAGCACTTTTACTTTGAGGACAGTATTGATGGCTTTGGCATCACCATGGCCATTCTCTACTTGGTGGTTTGCATCCTGGGACTAGCTGGAAACTCCCTCGTCATTGTTGCCATTTTGAAATTGGACAAAATGTCATCATCCACAACTGTGTACATTTTCAACCTGGCACTGGCTGACGGACTTTTCATGGTTGGTCTTCCCTTCATAGCAAGCCAGAACTTCCAGAATCACTGGATGTTTGGCGACATGGCGTGCAAAGTGGTCATGGTGCTGGACGGCATCAACCAGTTCACCAGCGTCTTCTGTCTGACGGTGATGAGTATCGACCGCTACATGGCACTGGCCAACCCGCTTCGGTTCGCCCGATGGAGAACTCCCCGCTGTGCCAAGATTGTTTCAGCATTCCTCTGGCTGTTCTCGCTCCTCACCATCCTTCCCATGGCGCTTCACTTCTCAGCTGATCGCGGACTGTGTATACCAGATCTTGTTTCGGATGCCTGGTGGCTCGGCGTCTTGTCTTACACCTTCGTCATGGGGTTTGCTTTGCCCTTCATGGTCATGACGGCTTCCTACATGGCGCTGCTGCTCACCCTGAGGTCCCAGCGGCTCCGAGCGACGATCCCGGCCCACGAGAGCCACCGGCTGGAGCGGCAGGTGACCAAAATGGTGGTCGCAGTAGTGGTAGTGTTTGGGATGTGCTGGCTGCCATTTTACACCTTCAACTTCTGCTCCCTGTATCAAACTGGCATGGTCCTGACCTTCGCCAGAGGCTTCGAGTTTGTGGTCCTGCTGTCATACTCGTGGAGCTGCGCTAACCCCATCCTCTATGGCTGCCTCTCCGACACCTTCAGGAGGCACTTCCGTACCCTCCTATGCTCTGCCGCCAAATCATCTCCCAGCATGCAGTGCAACACTGAACGGTATGACTTAAATGACACAGGTGGGCGGGATGTAACCATTCTGGCATAAAGAGAAGATGAAAAACAGACTCAAGACGTTACTGACATGATGCCTTCATGCTACTTTTCAACTTCTTTAAATGTATTTACTCATTGATAGTTCGTAGCTATGTGACAAATTGAGATTTAGTTTTGTATTGTCTCCACTTAACCCGGAATGTCTTATTATTTGCCTCCAATCATGATGTTGTACATAATTTTCTAAGATATTCTTGTCCTAGCTGATCGTATGTTGGTCATCAGTGTCTGAAATGCACGCTTGCGTTGATCACCCACTGTCTGAGTACTGACTGGGAAGCTTTCTGCCTAGCTGAAATGTTTACCCCATTTCCTCCGCGGGAAAGTTGCCTTTGTACTTTCCAATCTTTCAGGAAGAGTTTCACAGAATAAGAATAGGCAAAATGGAAGAAAAATGCTCACCAAACAGCATCATTCAATTTGACTTTCCTAAACATTCTCTTTATGTGACAAATCCCCAATCTTGATAGAGTGCAGGCCCACCTCCTGCGCTGTCTGACTCAGACTTATAATATTATAGTATAATTTGTCTTCTAATAATTCAGACCACTGAGGAGACCTGCTCTACCGCATCTCTTTTTATACGGCATTTCACCAGAACTAATGAAATGAGGTACAAGAGGGATGAAGTGTGGACAGGTGGAGTGTAAACAGAATAACATGGGTCACATGCCTGTGGCCAAGCAGCAGCACAAAGACACACACAGACAGCTCCTCCACTCCCACAGCTGGATTATGTCCTAGTGGCTTTCATAAGTGTAAGAGGACATCTGATGTGTGTGTCAGTGCCTAGGTGGCCATGTGCAGGCACCTGTACATATGCATGTTGTCAACCATGTGGGCCACAGGCTTACTGTGGCATTCTGCTTTATCCTGACTTACCTGAGATACTTTTTAGGAAAGGAACAGTGAAGTAAAGGTACAAGGTGAACGCATGGATTTACTCTATTTACTATTCCTATGAAGTGAGTGAAAAACATACCAGCACTTGTCTTGTCTGAGTACCTTAATCTCTTCCAAAATTGCTCTAAAATGGATTTTTTTATTTTGGCTGTGAAAACCTTGTTACTCTAAAATGTCACCAGTTTAGTCATTTAAAAAGCAGTCTTGAGTTTAACTTGATCAAAATGCATTTTGACGTTATCCAGTCTGATGGAAAGGCTTTCATCAATTTCCGCATAAAAACCTGAAAATCACTGGAATCTAAGATATGATTTTCATGGAATAGCAGTTAGATTCTTCTTTGTGATGTTGCTTTGACTTTGAGACCCCATTCCTCTCTGTAAATGACATGCATTCTGCGAGATTGGATTTAAATAACAGTGGGCAAAAACCCATATAAATAAGGGATAAACATACCCAAGAAAGATCAAGCATCATATATGCAAACACCCTTGTCTAAAGCGGAGAACAGAACAGACATGTGCTGTCAGTTATCAGTGATGTAAATATGTATAAATATGTAAATGGTTCATGTGAGTAACATAAATCTGATGTTTAAATGTGTCAGTTTAATCCAATTACACCATATCTCAACACAAAAAAACACAAGCCAGTTTTGTCGTGAGTTTTATTGAGGCTGTAAATCAAGACACGGGCCTGGGACTTCACACGCACACCACACACACACACACACACACACACACACACATATGTATAAACTCTATACGTGAGCATGTCTCAGATCCATTGTTATATTGAATGTACATAAATATAGTTGCTTGTATTCTTATTTCTGTTAGCATATTTGAGTGCAAAGGAATAAACCAAGCCCATGTCACATAGTCTTGTTTTCTTGCATTGGTGCTAGGCAATGTTTTTCATTAATCATATTGTGTATAAGCTTCATAAACAGAGGTGGAAATGACCACTATGAGACCAATATCTGACAACTCTGTCACTCTCAAAGTCACGGCAGCAGTGGAAAGTAACAAGTGAGCACAATTTTGAGCTACTAGTACTTTAGAGTATTTCTATTTTATGCTACTTTGTACTTCTACTACTTTTAACAAGCAGTCAGAGAAAAAGTACAATATTTAGACAGCTTGTTACTTTAAGATTTTACATACACAATAATAATGATGCATTGCTATAGATTAAACTGACCGACAGTGTGTAAGATATTTCAGCTACACTTCGACTGGCAACAACCTTAACACACTCCTCACATGTTAATGAAGGAATTAATAATCTAATAATACAATAACTATAACAAAACAATTCTGCATCATAATTATATGTATTATTTGTTCTTAATACTTCTGTACATTAGCCTCAGCAAAAGACTTTTACTTCAAACTAAGTATTTTTAAAGCGGAGTAGTGTTACTTGACCAGAAGTTTCCAGCCTTTTCACCTTGCAATGCCTTACAAAAAACTTTGTCTACTTATGTTCCCTTGTCACTTTTCAGATGTCCAACAGTTATTAGTATAACCACCGATGAGTGATTTGCCCTCTAAACTTGTAAGACGCTTTCATTACAATAACGCTGTGAGGTCCAAAGAGGTCAAATTATCCAATATCTCACATAGAAGGGAATAGTAGAGAAAAGTCCAAACAATGAATACAGATTTGTGCATCAAACACCCCCAGATTTATCTTGTGATTCTGGGAAGGGGGCGTATTTTTCAACAAAACTACTTTTTTTGAAGATAATTATTCAGCAAAAATCTGAAAGCAGCACTTTACTTTTGCTATTGTTATTATTGATGTGCTGATTTTCCATACTGTAATTTTACTATGTTGGTCTATTGTGTACACGCAAAACCTATTGTATATCTGTCCGTCCTGGGAAAGGGATCCTCTGTTGCTCTTCTTGAGGTTTCTTCAAATTTTTTCCATTATAGATTTTTTTTGTGGGGAGTTTTTCCTCATCCAAATTGAGGGTCCAAGGACAGCGGGGATCGTCTGCTGGACAGATTGTGAAGCCCCAATTGGAAACTGTGATACTGAACTACATAAATAAAATTAACTTGACGTACTGGTAGCGGAGTATTTTACATTGCTGTATTGGTATTTTTACTTTAGCAAAGAATCTCGGTATCTCTTCTATCACTGCCATAGCCAGTCACCATATGAAAAAAGTATATGAGAGCTCTATTTAAAAATAGTAGGTTGGGACAATAGTGAAATTCTCTGGTGAATTCAGAGATTTCCAAAACACCATGGTCTTCTTCTGTAAGATGTCATGCATGAGTGTCTTCTTGACTGTTTGCTTCAATACTTTCCCAGGAGGGTATCCTGTGAACCGGAAAGACTCTGTAAATGTCAGGCCTGCTAGCTGAGACCCACTTGTGTCTGCCGGCATGTTTTTAAAAGAGCTAATAAACCCCTGCCACATCTCCGAACGTTTTAAAGACACTCAAGTGCCAATGGCAAAGAACAATCTGACAGACAGCAAGAGGAGGCCAAGTTCAGTGACGGCCCAAAAGCACAAAACACTCACAAATTGAATTTACTGCACTGCTAAAATATATATCATACTAAGACAGTTTTGACGTGATACCACAGGGTCTTATTAGTTTGAAGCGGTGGACGACTTATGGTGTCATCTCAAGTTTTAATACACTTTCATGGGCTTCCAACATCTATCTAGCATCTGAATGTGTGCTAGTATTGATTAATAAATGAACTACATATGCATTTACATTTAGTTAGAGTTATTATTAGTGTTATTATACTCATGGTCATGGTCTCCTTTTAAAAAAATATTTATATAAAATTTACCATGCCTGTCAATCTGGGTTTGAATCTGTCCCGTGAGCTATCTGTTTTTGTTAAACAGATTAAAGTGCAAAATGGCCCTGAAATAAATCACACTTACCTGGTTTGTGTGGGTTTTGTATTTTTGACAACCTGCAGGTACCACCTCAAAACAGGGACTATATAAAGGTAAAGCCTGAGTAAAAAGGTGTCACTGAGTCCTTGGTCATGTTATCCATCTGTGAATGTTCAGGTGGGGGAGGGGTACAACCCACATCCCCAAAAAGCCTTGAGGTGCAGTTATTTTGATGGCCACTAGATGCTGATTTTGTGTGTTAATTCTTTGTTAAAAATGATTATTTATGAGACTCCACCAAATGAAAATGTTCATTTACAGCAAAGTGCAGTTTCAACAATTTGCACAGCTTTGACTCCATTAAAGTGAAATAAACATTTTTATACTTCATATTTCAACATTCAGGCAGTGCGGTGGTGCAGTGGTTTGCACTGTCAAGCAAGAAGATCGTGGGTTAAAACCCCAGTTACCCCGGCCTTTCTGTGTGGAGTTTGAATGTCGTCCGCGTGGGTTCTCTCCAGGTGCTCTGGCTTCCTCCCACCATCCAAAGACATGTGGACTAGGTTAATTGGTGACCCTAAATTGTCCTTCGGTGTGAGCGGTTGTTTGTCTATGTGTGGCGCTGCGATGGGCTGGCGACCTGTCCAGGGTGTACACCACCTTTTGCCCTATGTCAGCTGGGATTGGCTCCAGCCCCCCCCCCCCCCCCCCCCCCCCGCAACCCTGTACGCAGGATAAGCGGTTGACGATGAATGGACTTCAACATTTTACAAATGACATGAATATTAAAAGCTTAAAAAAAAATCATAAAATAACACTCAGAAAACTGAGCATTGTCACTTCAATCTGGACGCAGACTGAGTGATCAAAGTCCACAACTGTTATTGTGCTTAAATGTCGTTTTGCTTAATCATTATTACCAGTGTCAACAGTTTCATCCTGGATTTACCTGATTAGTGTTTTTGTTGAAAACACCTAACAAATGTCCCCCCCAAAAAAATCACACTGATATATTCATTTAAACCAATGGAATAGCCTTAAATTTATTGTACTGACGGTCATTAACAGACACATCAATTGATTTGGTTGATTGATTGAGCATGTTTTGGAAAAATGATTCCAAAGGCATCAGACTGGAGGCTATTCATTTACATCATCCTGTCCAATAAGCTGTCTTCAACTATAAACTGATTACTATGAAAGTAAAACAGGCCACATGCCAAAAGCTTCTGCTCCTAACTTCCTGGAAGGAAGCCACCTAAAAGGGTCTGGTTCTGAGAAGTGCAGTGTACTTGGGGCCTACATCAACTGAGTGCTAGAGATGGTTCAGTCAGGTTGTGTTAACTATAACTAATGTTTCAACAAATTATCACAGTTTAAAATGTAGAGAGAATATGTAGAGAATGTGAGCTTCAGAGATGCTGTTAGGCCTAAAAATGAAACACTGAGTTGTTTGTTTGTTTGTTTTTCAACACATACGGTATAACACGAAACCAAATGAGCTTTAACATGTTCTAAAAACAACCAGCTGTGGTGACAAGAGCAGGGAATACCAGCCAAAAACCACAGCGCTGCATTGTTAAAACGATTCAACGAAACATCAATTAACCACAATACAATCGTATGTGCTGAATGACACCAGATTTACAATGTATGGTCGTGCCACAGTCTGAAAGGTCAATCTGATCAAAGGGTCTTAGGTGTGTGTGTGTTTGTGTGTGCACTGTATGTGTGTGTTGGTCCTAATTAAAGAACTGGCAGACAGCAGTTATTTTCATTGGTCCTCTTTACTCTGACTGATCCAACCTTCACCCTCTGTGTGTAATTAAGACCAGATGCAAACTGCCTGAGAGGTTTCTCAGTAAAGAATATTGATGGGACCCCTGAGAGTCAGTGTGTTTGCGCGTTTGTGTGTTTGAATGTGTGTATCTGTCCATGACATGATTAGAGGAAAAGATCAATAAAGGTCAATTAGGCAATTTACATAGTCCACTTATTGTCGGGCATTCCTTCATTTCTCTCTCATGTCTGTTTTTCGATCTCCTCCTGCTCCTCCATTCCTGTACTGACAAGTTTGCCAAAATGTAATGCACTTGTGTAATGACAAAAACAAGACTCTGCTGAGCCTGGGTCGCAGTATTCCAGTGGACAGACAGCAAACAGCACCAACCAGGGATTAATAGCACTTTGCTGTGCTCTCGGAAGGCCCCAAAATGCACACGTTTTATTCACACATTCATGTTTTTTCTGCCGTGAAACTGTATTGTAAATATTTTAATTACGTTGACATCTGCCCAATGCTTGCAGGGCCACACCTGCTCCATGTGTCAAACAAGTTTTGTGAACCTGGTAATTAGCTGGAGAGATACCAAAGCCCTGTCTTATGATACGCTAATTTGTTTATGATTCACTAATGTAGATTATTTACTATTAATCGTATTATCTGCAGTACTAACAGAAGGCAACTGAGTGCGTGATGATGTTATCTGCCTCTGAGGTTCAGACAGTGTGAAGAGCATGCACCACATTCAGGAAGAAAAAACTCTTGCCTTTAATTTTATTACATGTGACAGTTGCTTGTTTTTTGATACATGTGTTGTGTTTTTGACGATGTAAGGTTTCCTTTAATACGTATTGTTTTGACAGTGTTTAATGTTTAAAGGAGATGTACAAATTTAGGAAAAATAAAAAAATTGTTATCAAAAATGTTATCAACAGAATGTGAAGAAATCAAAGTAATGACGTTATGCCAAAGAAGTCTATTGTATGTGCTGAAGTTAGCATGCTAACCAGCTATCCTCGGCCCTGTCCTGTCTTGTAATAACACTTTGCACCTCAAGATGCGATAGGGAGTCACTCTCCCCCTCAGTCTGCCCTCAGTCCAACAACACCAGGGGTGGTGTCCATGCAGGGTTTGGCCCCTGGCACCCCCGGGCAGACCCCACCCTAATCCCCAGCAGCACACAGTAGCTGGAGGTGTGCAGCCTGTCGCCTGTCTCTTAGCCT